AGAATCGATAAAGAATCGAATCGTTAAACAGAATCGAAAATGGAATCGGAATCGTGAAAATCTTATCAATACCCATCCCTAGTGGCTACAGAATTAGGCCGAGCGCCAGATGAGAGTGTTGGAGCACCTAGTCTCGGTCTGGCGTCCCCCTGGCACCTCTGTTGTGCCAGGGGGACGCCAGCAAGCCATGTCAAGCAAACCTTGACATGGCTGTATGACTGGCCAAAAACCACCCGGCAGTGCAGCCAGCAAACCCGCTGGATCAACCACAGCCAGTTGTGGAGAATTGGCCGGTCCCAGCCCCAAGGAGGAGGTTCCCCAGCTCCACTATAACTTTGCTGGTTATGGAGCAGCCACCACAACAGCCAGTCTCGCTGTCTCCCCACAGGTTCCAGCAACTAAGCTGCCCCAACTCACAGGGAGCTGTGCAAATGCTGAGGCAGGTATGTTGGAGGTGTGGGCGGCCAGGACACTGACATTAGGAGTGCCCACTGACGGATGTGGGGTAGCTGTTCCGTGTTGCTGGCCCTCCAAAACCTTCCCCAGGTCCAAGAGGGACATGCAGTGTCAAGGTGCCAGTGGATATACGCCAGGCTCTGGTGGACTTGGGCTATAGGGTGAGTCTGGGCTGCACGCAGACCCTGGTCCTCCAAACCCTGGTACGGAACGGGACATTGTTGGAGGCAGAGTTGGTGGAGGTTAGATGTGTGCATGAGGACATACACAAATATCCCATAGTGCCGCTCCAAATTAAATACAAGGGCAAAACACATGGTGTAAAGGCTGCAGTTAGCTTGCACCTGAGGCATCCCTTAATTCTGGGTACAGATTTGCTGGTGTTCAATAACCTGTTGGGGCAATGTGCGGGGATACAATCACGAGCTTTAGCAAGGGGGATGTTTGTACTGTGCTTAGCAGAGACCTTTAGTTTATTCAACTCTGACTCTAGGGAGGAGGAGGCCATCTAATGAGGCCCTGCTGCCTCCAGCGATTCACTCCACAGGATATTTCCCACTAGAGGAATCTCATGACTAAACTCTATGCAACCTCAGCCTCTGATCAAGTGATAAAAAATGATGGTCACATGCTTGCCCTGACACAGCACTGACCTACCTGTATTTCGTATTGATTAAAGATAGGCTTCATAGAGCGAGTCATAACACTGGCACCTCCAGGCCCTGTTTCAGATCATCTCCCGAGTCGGCATCCCGAAAGAGATACTGACCACCGGTTCATGACCGGCTTTGTGGAGCTGACCAGCCATGTAACTAATCTCACTCAAAAGTGTGCCCCAGATCTGGTCCAGTGGACAGAGCAGTGCCAGGCAGCATTTGTGCAGTTGAATAAAGCTCTACCGGTGTTTGATAAGATAAAATGTGATTTATAGAACTTAAAGACATTTTTCCAT